CCCCAAAACCCCAAAACCCCAAAACCCCAATCCTACTGCTTATTTAAGTATGCTTATTAAAGTGTGATAGATAATTAATAAATGGAAAAATTTAATCAAGTAATTTCTAGCCTAAAAAACTTTGATCTCAAGTCTATTGCTAATGATAAAGTTGTTGTATGTCTAGCAGTAATAGGCTTAGCAACATCTACTAGATATGTGGCTAATAGGATATTAGAACTTAAAAATAAACCAAAATCATCAAAGACTTCTTAGTTGAAGCAAATATATGATGGAGAATGGGCTTTAGTGCTAGATTTCTCTGAGGAAAATGGCTTACAACTAGCCTTGAACCTCGCAAAGGAGGGCTATAACATTATGACATTCGTGAGAAACAGCTATGATCATCATGAGATCTTTAAGCACATTGAAGAGACCTACAAAGTTAACACAAAGGCTGTTGTTTATGATATCAGAAACTTAAGTGATGTAGCTTTCTACGAGGATTTCTCTAAAACCTTAAACTCGATTGAAGATGACTTTTCAGTAATTGTCAGTAATTTAAGAACATTAGCAGCTAACAGAGAGAATGATGCTATTGAGGGCTAAGATGGAGAAGGTAAATCATTCTAGAATGTCTTAGATTAAGTGAAGTAGAATATTGCACAGTAACTCTTTTTATATAAGGTGCTTCAGCCAAGATTATTGAAGAGATATGACTCAGCCAACAAAAAGGGTGCCATTATAAATATTCAGTTCCTTGATGCTGCAAAGTCTGATCCATATACAGCAGCATATGCTTCCTAAAAAGCCTACGAGTATACAGTTGGGATAGGACTAGGAGAGGAATAAGAATAAGGTTTGGATAAGGTCGATATCTTGTCTGCTCTTCAAGTTGAAAGTGACATTGTCATTACTAAAGAAGGAGAAAAAAGTGAGGTTATTAAGGAGTTATCTGATGAAACTGGAAAACAGTAGAATGAGGAATTATAAAAACTGCAAATGGATATAAGAGAGTATGAATTCGTCCCTTAGCACTTGTATAACTAACACATTCTAAATAACAAGTAAAAACAGTAGAGTGAGAGTTTCGGTGTCTGGCCCTTCAGAAGAGAGATATAATAATTACCACAAAATAAAAAGTGATTTGGGAATAAAGTATTGCTTTTAACCAGAAATAATGATTTAGTGATTTATGGCTTATAATAATCTTTCAAAAATATTTCATTTCTAACTTGCGGGGTTTTGGGGTTTTGGGG